GTAAGAAGGAGATCGAAGACTTCAAAGGTGATCTCAGCAAGGAATTCAAAATGTCTGGTCTGGGTAATATTTCATATTTCCTTGGTATCGAGTTCTATAAGAGCAGCAGAGGTTTGATGATGCATCAAAAAAGATATACATGAGAAATTCTCAAGAGATTTGAGATGGAAGAATGCAACTCAACTTCGACACCTGCTAAACCAAAATTGCAACTGTCGAGAGATGCAGATGAAGATGTTGTCGACCCAACCCAATATAGAAGACTTATTGGGTCATTAAGATACCTTTGTCATCCAAGGTCTGACTTAGCATACAATGTAGGTATGATAAGTAGATTCATGCAGAAGTCAAAGATATCACACCTAACAGCGGCAAAGAGGATATTGAGGTATCTGAAAGGAACTCTCGACTATGACATTTTATTTCCTGCAGCTGATAAGGGAAAAGAATGCAAGTTAGTGGGATACACTGATTCAAGTTGGTGTAGTGATGTTGAGGATCGAAAATTCACAGCAGGATATGTGTTTATGCTAGCCGGTGTATCAGTTGCTTGAAGTTTGAGAAAGGAACCAGTAGTGGCATTATCATCATGCGAAGCAGAATACATATTTGTTTCTCTTTGTGCATGTCAAGCAACATGGATAGTGAACTTGGTCGAAGAGATAATGGATAAAGATCATGGAGCAATTACCTTGAAGATCGACAGCATGCCAGCTATCATCTGACGAAGAACTCGATAGCTCATGGTCGAAGCAAGCACATCGAAATGAGGTTCCACTATCTTTGAGAGCATGTAGTAGATGAGGAGATGAACTTGGAACACTGCACAACTGAGAATCATATTGCACACATCATTACAAAGGGTGTGCAAGTCGAAGTATTTCGAAGACTAAGATCTATGATGAATGTAGATAGCTTAGACACAATGAATTAGGTGGTGTGTTGAAAGTAATTTCTTGTGTCGAAGCAGTTTGCTCGACAGAGACAAGGAAGTGTTGAAACATTGTGTATCGAAGATACTGCACACAAATTTGATTTTAGATTTAGATAGATTGGATTTAGATCTAAAATAGAATAGATTTGATTTAGTTGCAAAATAAGTATTTTGAATTTATATAGTTTTGGGCTTTTGGCTTAGGAGAAAGCTAACATAAAATTATAAATAGATGGAGTAACCCATATTTTTGTAATCAAGTCAATTCATTGTATTCACAGAATTTACATTTGCCAGTGAATAATAAAGTTTTCCACCATTTGTGAGTAGAGAGAAATTCTGTAGAAAAATATATTTTTTTCATCTTTTAGTTTTTTCATTGTCATTGTATGATGATATATGATAGAAATTCATCATATTTGATGGATTTCAAACAAAATCTGCCCTCATATCTCAACTTTTATGAGTTGTCACTCTACTATAGTACACACTGGTATTGTCATTCATTTGCGTCCCTTGTCCCTTGTCCCTTCTTTTATAACTCTCATACAGAATGAGATCTTTAAGGACATAGAGCTTTCAAGAAGCCAATGGATTCACCGTAGGGACAAATACAAATCTCGTCTCTAGTAAAAAAATTTACATAACTTTGTCAGGTTAAGTTTTTTTACCTTAACTATGTCATGTTTGAGTTTATTTTTCTTTATGAATACTTATAAATCTTATTTATGCTTCATCTATATACAAGGTGAGATTCATTCTCATAGACAAACAATTTGAAAAACTAAATTTGAAAGATTCTAAATTTATTTGCTTGTTTTCATCATTTAATATGCATATTATAGTAAGATTTAAATTCTTGATTTTTTTTATTATATTTTAATGAAGAGAGAGTGATACTAAGAGAGAGATATAGAATAAGAAGAGAAATTGAAAGAAAAGTGAAAGAGAATATCCCAATTCTGGTAAGGGCTAAGCAAAAGTACAACATCCACCCAATTATGCCAAACTTGTTGTTTGGTCTGCTTCTTGTTGTATTTCCCATTGTGTGCATACATAGTAGACGTTTCTATTCCCTTTTTCTTTTCTGATCGTTTTTTCCTTTCTCTTGCAACATGTGCTTCACAACGGCTCCAATAGAATACCATATCTTGGACAAGCAAAGAATTAAATACACTTTATTCAAGTACTACCATGTGAGCACATATTGCAGAGCAAGCATTTTTCTCTCTCTTTTTTTAAATGGAAAATTATCAATGCTTACAATGAGGCTGTAATTTAGAGCGTTTTCAGCTGTGAGAACTAAGTGATTCCTTGAATCTTAAGTTTCATTGCTTATTTTTGTTACCATTAGAGTATACGGATATGATAATATTGATTGTTTAAATTTAAGAAATAAACTTTCTCAAACAATTTCAAAAATGGAGAATTTAATATTAAAATATAGAAAAATATATTCATGGAAGTTGACAATTGAATATATTTGGTTAAAAAAATTAAATTTCATTTTGCTATAAATACCATTTTCATTTTAAAAAAAGGAATGCATTAATTTTTTTTCCTAACGTTACTGCAACATGTTTTGTTATTTTGATATAACATTTAAAAGTGATACATTTAAAAGTAATATTTTTCTAATCTAACGTTTTTCTAATCTTTTTATATATTAATTATAATTGAATTAATTAATTAATAGACTTAAAATATTGTGTAAATAAAATATAAGTTAGTAGGGTTAAATATAAGTTGTTTTATTTACTATTACTATTCAAGTAAAAATGGTTGAAATTGTTTGTAGATTGCTTAAATGTAATATGGTAGTTTGAATCCATAAAATATGATACAGGCAACCAAAATTAATTCTCTCATTTAGATATGTTTTTAGTATGTCACGAAGACAGGGCAATAGAACTGTTATAAATGCCACGCAGGATCAACATTAATGAATATCAAAATTACATAAACATTCAATATAGCAGATTGACAAAATATAAAATTACTCATAATCTGCAAGTGGCTAGTTTATCTGTTACAGTAAGTAACAACAAAGCATATAAATTTTGAAGATTAAATAATAAATTATCCAAGAATAAAAAACCATGTATGCATTACCTACTAAGACTGTTACAAAATCCGTTGAACCGAACCGCCAAATAATATAATCGAACTATTATGTTTGGTTAATGAACCGAAGATAGTTGAATTTAAAATAACTAAATCTTTATGTTTGATTAGCAAATCAAATGGCAAATAAATCAAATTGAAACTAAAATTCAACCGAAACTGAAAATGAAAAAATATCTTTTTAAAATTTTAAAAAAAAATTAACAGTTTGATTCCTTAACACATTGTTCGGCTTGGAAAAAATTGTCTTCTAACAGTTTGGTGCTGTTTGGAATTTCAAACCGATATACTAAATCAATAATTTTGGTTCGGTTCGATTTTAAGTAAATTGAAACAATCCGATTTGATCTGAGTGACCTTTTAATATTTGTTTGATTTGATTCAGTTGAATTTTCTGAGTGTACTGTATCATTAACAATGTACCTACTACTACTTCTGTTCTCATTAAAAAGATTCATGGCACTGCCTAGTACTACTTCTGTTGCAAGCATATGCAATGAGCAGTAACATGTTAAGGAAACCAGCTTATCCAACAATTGAATGTAAATGCCAGATGTAGGGGTGTGCATTTAAACCGGTTTATCTAATCCATAACCATAAATTTAGTTACCAAATTAAAAAAATCCAAATCACATTTGTTATTAACTGATCCAATCCATTTTAAGAAAACCAATAACATTTAGTTAACCATTTATGAAATCCGGTTATAATCCAATTCACTTAAGATTTGCAAAAGATCTTTTCTCTTATCTTCCACAAAGACAAAATCATTATAATTATAAATGACCCTGCTCACGATATTCGTGAGACTAGAATTCAACATAGTATATACCAAAATAATATTGAAAAATCTCTATTTTAGATCTCAACATTAAATATTCTACAATAAATATTATTCTCTCTCAATTGTAAAACATAAACTCTTAGTTGTATTTCAAATATGTTTAAAATATCTTATATGTATGTATAAAATGAATTTTTACTTTTTATATTTCAAAACACTTTATAATATTAATTAAGATTAACAGTTTTTTTATCTTAATATTTACCGAAAAGACACGGTTCTAGACACTTTTCATTTCATTGTGTTAGTAAACAATTAAGAGAGAGAATATTATTAAAAAATAAATAAAACAATATTCATAAATCTATAACATAACAAAATAAAACAGTTAAGGAGCCATGCAATATTTATCATTATAATATATATCAAAATTTCAAAATCGATTAACGCAAAAATATTGATCAAAGCAATAAAGAAAAACTGATATATTGATATAGACCGGTTTTAAGACCGGGTCAAATAAAAAAATGGTTTTTAATAAAAATTGGATTTAAACCAAATTGATCCAAATATAAACTGGTTTTGAAAAAAATAAACTAGTTTTATAAAAACAATTTCAAGAACCAAACCAAACTATATATATGGTTCAATTCGGTTTGGTTTATGAACCATGCACACCCTTAGCCAGATGAGCATGCTGCATGGATCTGTCATTAAAGCCAAGATTTCTGTTCTTTTGGGGTCCATTCTCTATCTATGTACAACTTCGGTCAAAAAGGAAAAAGAGAATATTAGATCTGTCAAAGCCAATCATTTCAAATTCTCATACACTCATTACTTTGCTTAGATGGAAAGCATTGGGACTTGGATCGCATATTCTAAAGCTGTATTTGCTTCTGCCCCAAAAAAAGCATTTAGGTTTGCCTTGTACTAGTACTACTACTAGTTCAAACAACAAACTGACTCAAAACCCAAGACAGTGACACTTACTTTAATGTATCTTCCTACTTTAATTGAGCTTCTCTTGTAATAACATAATTATAAATAGCCCTTCATCTCTGTGTCATTAGATAAACCTTTTTGGATCATTCTGTCTCTCTTCGTCCTACGCTTCTATAAACTCTAACTCCATAGCATCATCTCATCTCAGTAGTACTAATGGAGGTATTATTCCTTGTACTTTTTAATCTAACGGATTGTTATACAGTTTATTTTAGACTTTCTTCCATTCCTGAATGTTTTGCCATTACCAATTATGTTCAATGATTAATGTTCAGTTACTGTTAATGGAGGTATTATTCCTTGTACTTTTTAATCTAACGGATTGTTATACAGTTTATTTTAGACTTTCTTCCACTCCTGAATGTTTTGCCATTACCAATTATGTTCAATGATTAATGTTCAGTTACTGTTTTGCTTTGCTTTGCAGATTGTTGAACTAAAAGTGGAGATGGTTTGTATACATGAAAAAAGACTAAGGAAGTGCCTCTCAAAATTAAAAGGTTTGATTCATACAAATATTACTAATTAATGCCACATTAACCATGAGTTAGTTGTTGATTTTATGTAATACTGTTTGGTTATGAATGCAGGGATAGAGAAAGTGGAAGTGGATACTAATTGTCAGAAGGTAGTAGTATACACTGGATACACACACAAAAACAAAATCCTAAAAGCAGTTAGAAGAGGGGGTCTCAAGGCTGATTTTTGGTCTCCTCAGAATGAGTTGCTTAATGCTTATGTCAGTGCCAATTATGCCAGATTTAGATTCAACCCCTTTAGTTTCTTCTAGTTTTTCTCATCACCAACCCCACCAGGCCTTTTTCCATGTTTCTGTATCTTCTGCCTAGTGTGAGGTGATAGATATATACACCACTAGCATTATATTCATTAGCTTTATCATTTTCATAGAAATCATATGAACAATCACAAAATTCAATGAGGATATCTCATATAGATATAATAGAAATAAAGACATCTCTTACTGAAATTTGAGGACTCAAATTTATCTACGAATTTCAAACTCGCCCTTTTTATTTATGAAACTACAAATGATTATCGAAGGTGTCATGCCTCATGAAGGACAAATTTAAAAGGTTGAACATCAAATAAAATTTTATTTTAAAATCTCATTTTAACTTGAATAGGTGTACTTTTATTTTTGCAGATAAACTTGAGACAAGAAAGTTGGTTTGAAATACTATATAAAAGATTGTTATTGTATAAATTATCTTCATGATCTTAAAGAAGCAAGCTGAAAACACTTTTTAGCAATATTTAAAAATTCATAAATTCTCTCAAATATTATTACTACAAAGTGTTTTTTTTTTAATTTGATTGAAATTCTAGTCAATGTGAAAGCACGTATTTTTAAGAATTTTTTTTAGTCATAATTATGTTTTAAAAAAAAACATAAATAATCATGTTTCGAAGAAAATTACACAAATAATCATATTTAAGAAAACGTTATAATGTAGTAGCTATCTCAGATGACGTATACAATGGAGATTTGGTCTTAGGCGTCATCTCACATAGCATACAGCAGTGTCATCTGAGATGGCTCCTACATGCAAGTGTGTTTTCTATAAATTAAACACCTATTTCTCATCATTTTTCACACTTTCTCACATTCTCTTCTCGTTTTCTCTCAATTTTTTTATATCATGACATCTCCCATGAGTTTCATCAGAGATGGGTACGTTATTTTCTCGACCATCAAATCTCCGGTGAAAATAAAAATTTGGCACATTAATTCCATGGACAAACTGAAGAGAGAGTTGATGCGATGGTTAGACGGTGACATCGTAGCTGGGAAATAAATTAGAAGGATCTAGAGAAGAAGAACAGCCACCTCACTTACAACTGGAAGATCTCCTGGTTGAAAGAAGTCAAAACAAACAGAGACGTAATAGTGATGATGCACGGATCCGATGAAATTGTTTTGACGATTTTTATTTCTTAGATATTTTATCATGTTGTTGATGTTATATTTACGTGTTGTATTTGTTATTGTTTTAGTCGTGATGTGTTTTTATTTGTTGTTTGCGTATGATTTGTTGTAACAAATGCTCTTAATAAAAAAAAGTTTCGTTTAGATAGTTAAAAAGTACAGATAGTTTACATACAATATTTACGTTGTCGAGCTAGTAGCACGAATGGGACCATTTTTTCGATTGTGTCCTATCTAAGGGTATAAACCACGCTTTCTTTCTATCTTGTCAAGAGAGTCCATTTCAATTGTGATACGCTTGCTTTTGGGATGACTCTTTTTATTCCTTCAGATTTGATCATTGTGCCAAACTATTTCTCCTTCGTACGCATGCCAATAATCTGGTTTCACTACCACTAAAAAGTCATTGTTGTATACGCTAACCAATATCTCGACCTTGTAAATGGGAGATAGAAGTAGTAATGCATCTTGATGAGCATACGTACATGCTGCAATGACGTGAGAGCAAGGCATATGAAAGACTTGAAACTTTCCACAATCGCACCAACGAGATGGTAGTATGACCCTATACTCTTGTCTTGGAAACCCCTCGTTGTGGTCGATTGTCTCTTTTACAAGATGGGTGTTGGCTTTGACACTTTCTGCCTTAATAAATTTCATGCAACTTTCACTTCATAGTTGTCCCGATTGTAACACCGCGTTTCACATTTCACCTCTTTTTGCAAACAACGAAGTCATCCTAAAATATGTTGATTTTACCAAAGCAGTTACTCGAAAGTTTCGTGCGCCTTTGAATATACCGTTCATTGATTCAATGATATTTGTTGTCATATGGCCCCGTCATTATCCATTGTCGTATGACCTTGTCCATTTCTCAACTGAAATATTATCAATCCACCTACATGCATCCAGGTTTGAAAATTTGATCTCATTGCGATAGTGTTTGAATGAAGGTTGTGTTAATGCATACCCCGTGTTCATAACTGATTTCTGAAGTGCCATGTCTTTGATCTCCCGCGTGAATTTTTGTACAATATGTCTAACGCATTAGACATGCGTATAAGGGGGTCATGCCAACCATTTGCAGAATTATTGTATGCACTCTCAATAGAAGCGTATCTGTTAGAGATCAAGTAGAGACCAGGTTACGGAGCCACGTATGTTCGGAGATTTTTGAGAAAGAAACTCTAAGCACCACTAGTCTCTCCCTCGACTAGAGCAAAGACAAATACTGCAATCATACGGTTCAACATTGTGGAGATGCACCACAACGACCGTGTCAAGATACAGTTCAGAATGCATCAAGATATATCATGCAATCCAACTTGTTTGTCACCTTGGCATCTCAAAAGGATCGACACCCAATGGGGTGTTAATAATTGAAAAGATTTCGATCCAGAATGGTGTAAGATGTGGCGTAGGCATCACCAATATGTCTTACAATTCTCAGCTTTCCTCAGCCATATTAATATGTGACACAAGATCAGTATATTGATCGGTACATATCGATTACTAACCCTGAAATACACATATCTCACCCTAGGTATTTGATCGACCCACGCACACAGTGAGAATAATCATACACCACACAACAACAATCCCAACAATAAGCCCAACACACATTAACCTCCCACCAAACACAATGATGATACAGATCCACCAGCACCCAACCCCAAACCCAAGACTAATACCAATACACACATGTCCCACACACAATCACAGTACCAAAAACAACGACCATATATCTGACATCCTGATGTGGCCCCTCGTCATCTTACCTTAGACCAGATATTGGCCTATCTGAAGAATATTCATCAATCAACCCAACTTACCATCAGCAATCCTATCACCATATCACCCAAAAATCATAGTATTAAATTCCACAAGATTCATTTCATTTTTACCCCTTTATTCATACGACCAGTGATATTGACCCCCCGTGGAACCTCTCCCCCAACCAATACATCAAACTTTGAGGGCATGGGTAATTGACTGTTTAAAAGCGAATCTTCCGGATATGATGATCTGACGGCTTTCATAGATCCTGAACGCATTGACTTTGCTGGACCATCGACTCAACCGCAATCTTCCGGATATGATGATCTTAAGGTTTTGGGTGATTATGTGGTGTCTCTCTCACTTATGTGCTTCTCTTGGCCCAATGTTAAATGTTCCTTCTCATGAACTAACAAATAGTATCAATCAGAAATAAAAAACATGTTGACTTCAAGCCTGGTTACACCTAAGTTCAATCAGAGTGTCATTTCAAAAAAAGTATTGTCAATATACTTTGGATGGGACAAAGAATCGTGGCATTTGATTCAGATGCAGTTATATACTTAAGCTCATCTACACCTCAATTGTTTTTTAATTTGTTCTATGACACGGTCATTACAATTAAGAATATGATATGAGTAGAACACTTGGGTGTGCATGGTATAGATAAATGGATGATGATTTCTGATATGAGTTGTCTTATTGTTAATAGACACAGTGTCGTATTTGTCTCCCTTTCTGAATAACTTAATATAACATTTTTCTCTCGTGCATAAACTTCACCTATGTATACGAGCAAGTATAAAATCATTCTTGTTGGTTTTGTCAACAACATCATTAGGTCCAGGTCAAGTTGAAACCTGGTTGTCCATTACCTCTCGTCATTGACCGTTAGAGACAGATAGGAATGACAATGGGCGGGGTATGGATAAGATATCCTCATACACACGGTTGGAAAAAAAATCCCTATATCCGAACACATACCCGATTGGATAAAAACTTCAGCACTTGTACATGTGCCTTCTGAGTATGTAAGTACTCGAACTCATACCCGTTATCCGCATTTTTAATAAATAAATAAATATATCAACTATAAAATATCATACCCTCTTAAACTTTTAAGAGTATTTAAATGTTTTAAAAAGCTTATTGTTGAATTATGAAATAAAAATCTTATGTTACATATATAATAGTTTAACATCGATGTATTTTTAAAAATTAATAGACATTTATTTTAATATAATAATATAAATTAAAGTATATATATTGTGTTGATATGGGCGGAAGTGGGTACTAAGATGCACATAGATGCACTTATACCCGTTTATTTAAGTGAGCATTTATATGAACATGTGCTCGTACCCATTTATGCGTTTTTACCCTACACGTACCTATTTATGTGAGTTTTTATCCTACTCAATAGAAATGGATCAAATTATCTTCCCTAGAGACAGAATTGTACCAAAGAAGCAAAAACTTGAGAATCAACATATATGAGACGTATTAGGACCGAAAAGACGAAGTTATGAAATCATTCTAATTTATTTTGTATTTTTATATGTAGTATAATTTTTATTATATGTATATATTTTATCAAATAATCTTTTTTATCAAATCATTTATTCAAGAAAAATTATGCATAAAAAAATTTAAAAATTTACCTCACTGATAATCCGAAATTTCATATTTCCAAATTTTTTTTGGTACAATACCGAAAAATTTCACAATTTCCAATTAGATAATTCAGGTATCTATCAAAAATCTTAGAAATTCCGATGCATATACTTGAAATTTCAAAATGATGAAAATTATATTAAAAAAAAATGTAACTTTTCGCAAATTTACAATGAATAATCAAAATTTCGGATACACCCCCAATAATTTTTTAAAATTCTGATATTTGATGACGACTATAACAGTAAAAGACCTCAAAATGTGAAAGTGTCCGGTATAAGTGGAAGATTAATCCTCCAAATTAAAGTATATCAATCCAATGTATTAATAAAGACTACTTATTGTGGTTCCATGTTTTACGCAGCAAGTGATGGATTTGTTCGTAAAATGACCAGTTTGTGCTTGTTTATAATTATTGCACTAACTTTCAAAACTGATAAAATGACCAGTTTTTCCCTATAAAATCCATAATCAAATAATTAAAAGCACAAAATTAGAAGATAAATAAAATGAAACTTCCAAAATAAAATAAAAATGCTTGAAACTATCCCATAATTAAGAAACCACTTATTTTTCGGGTTATTTTCGGGTTAATATGATATTAGTGCCATCATTAAGAGTAGCACTAGCAACACTGATTTGAACAGACTGTGTAAACGGGTGAAATTGATGTGAGCCACCGTGAACTTCATCCTGTACAAAAATGGTGACACCACCATGAACTTCTCCAATAAAATAGTGTTGGAAATAGTGTTAACTTGAATATTGATAGCGCTACTCTAACCATATAAGTCTTAACACATAGTCTATCATTGTCATTACTGCAAGTCTTAACACATTGGTACATCTAGTCCAAGAGATTAACATATTTCTAGCTTATCCATCTCACTCGTCCTAGAATCAAATCAGCAATTGAAAATTTTGTATTCAATATCATAGCGCAAAATCTAGGGCAGCTCCTCCAAAAAACTTAGGGAAAAACTAAAATATAGCACTCTCGAAAAACTATCATCAAGGAAAACCCTACTTGAATGTAGTTCACTCAAGTCCAATTAGCATGTGATCAATAATTGTATGGGAACAACTTAATCATGTTTCCGATAGATGACAAACAGCTCGTTCATAAACCTAAGGAAACCTTAATAGTGATCACAAAGACAAGTAATAAAAAATATATATAAATATCTTGTCGTACAAATGAAGGAATGAATGATTGAAGATGAAACCACGGGAAAAACTAACAAGCATAATATTGAAGGCAGCTTTGGAACCAACAGAAACAAGCAGTGCAACTAGACAGCCATCATCAGTTACCAACACCTAACATCTAATATCATTGCAAACTCAACCCCAGCAAAAATCAGGCAGCGGCAGTCTGCTACGGTAATTTGTTAATTCTTCAAATAACTCACGAACACACATTCATATTAAAGATGCATCAGCAACCGACTCACAGCTACAATCACAGAGCAGTGTGCTACATCAAACACATCTCACTACATTAAGTAGCAGATATTATATTATAAACTAGAATATTTTACAAGTATCCAGTAAAATACCCTAAAAAAGTAATCTTGAATATTTTACCATTGACTCCCTTCATTGTGATTATAAGTAACATACCATCAAACTAGGGTTCATATTCAGTACTACCACAGATTATATTTGATATCGGCATCTGAATGAACAAATGACAGGTCCAACTCCTATGAGGTACCAATCACATGTTCAACTAGGGTTTATCAAAGCTTCAAGAATTCCTCTCAGAATTAATTTTTTTAAGAAAACCAATCATAATTACCAGATCAAAATTCAGAATTCTCAGAAGACATGTAGGATTTAAGAAATAAAGAAATGAACAAAAAAGCTTACCAAAAACCAGATCAATTGAGAAAAAATCAAGCAATTAAATGTCTTTCTAACCAGCACACTGGTAAAACAATCAGTCCTAAAACCAGCATAGTCTTGCAACGAGCATCAAACTCACGGACTATCATCAATGACATAGAAACAGCATCAAACTCACGAACTATCATCAATGATACAGAAACAGCATCAAACTCACGAACTATCATCAATGACAGAACCAGCATCAACAGCAACAATTTCAACATGCACCTATCAGGCCCCAATCACTTTTCCCGATCATAACTATAAAACCCAATAAGTTAATTATAAATTAACTGAGATTTAACTAGATCACAACCATTCTGACTAGAACAAAGGAAATGGAAATGTAGAAGCAGAGAGAGATAAATGCAAACACAAACACAATAGAGTAAGGCTAAAATAGCAAAATCCCTCGTACTGAAATATTAACCTAACAGCTACAAGGTCCAAAAGCTACCAAACTTTGAAGTAAACAACATAATAGGTCAAAACAGAGAAACATCAAGGAAATCCGGCCCTACCAAACTGCACTTAGATCATAAATTGTTACCAAGACTCTGATAATACCATCACATCTACCAAATCATCCAATATTTTCAAGACAGCAACAGGTACGCTGGTACACTAGTCTGAATGTCTCTGGAATACTTCAAGAAAAACAGCTTATTCCTGCAATTGTATATAGAACTGAACGGTAAAAACAGGTTTAAAAAATGCTTTTGATAGCAAAGTTGACTTTTTGATTCATTTATAAGTTCAAGAATAACATTACTTTACTTACATCACCATTTGAATTTCGAGGGGATGGGCTTCGGGAAGCATCATGGCGACCTCGTGGTGAGACACTGCGAGGCGTAAGAGACCTTCCATCACGGCTATGATTATCAGGACTTGCACGACGTGGACTTTTCTTGGGGGAAGCACTCCTTTGAGGGGAAATACTCTTGTTAGGAGAAGGGCTCTTTCTAGGACTAGGACTGCGTCGGGCAGGGGAGCGGCTGTCGAAAATAATTTAAAAAAAAGCTTAAATAACAATAATTATGTTGGTGGAAAATCACTGCTTAAAAGGTCAAGTATCAATGAAAAAAGACCTGTCCACTGATCTGCTCCGGCTTCTACTATGACGCTCATCATCATGGCGCCCCCTCCCACGGCCCTTGTAACCAGGACTAGCACTACGGCTTCTGCTTCGGCGACGACTGTCCCTGTCTCTTCCGCGATACCTGTCACGTTCATGCCTGTCATAACTCCTGCTGCGACTTCTCCTCCTATAATCCTTGTCTCTGTAATCATCACGATGCCTACAAACAATCGGACATTAGTCGATCAAAAATTTCTATCCAGTCAATCAAGAATATAAAAACAGCACAGGCTACCAGAAATAAATTTTAATAACCATAAGAAAATATCAAAATGAACGCATAACATCCCCTTGAGCATATCATCAAGAAGATAATTTGAATGCTAACTATTTCAATGGTAGATTGGAATTTATGAAAGAAGTCATTCACAGAGCCTCTCAAAAGTCATCAAAAGATAACTTCTTCAATTAAAAATACAGCATAGGATATTTATAATCATGGAGACAGCCACCTTACTCTAAGCTGCACATGATTTTACCGATTGGACAAATTGACGTGCTTAAACTGAAGAGGTCAATCATCCCCTTCTTAAGGTGTAAAATAAAACAGCACGATACAGGCTTGATAGAGCATCAAATAAATGCATCAACTGTATCATTGAAAATTCTAGAAGAGCGGTTTTGGCTATAAAATTCAACAATCACTCTGAACATAAAAAGATAAGCAAGAAACCACACGTAATTGAAACATTGCTCCTCACACTCAACTTTTCAAATTTCTCAACACAAAATAGAAACCACTGAAACTATCCTACGTCCACAAAAATCTAGAAGCAGCAAGGACATTAAAAAGTTTTACACACCTTCTCCTGCTGGGACTGCGGCTCCTTGAGGTCTTTGATCTCGGAGATGTTTCAATAATCCTTCCTTTCTGACTATAAATTAAACAAATAAAATTAGTTACATTAAAATGCACAAAAGATCGAGCAACGAGATAAAAAATAATAACCAGCACCCACTATCACGCAATGCAACTCACCCCAAATCCAAACACTAATAATCTGAAATGGCATCACCATTGTAACAAAAAAGGGGGAAATAAAAACAATGGAACTTACATCCTCTCAGCATTAGGTCCATATTTTGCAAATTGGACAGTTATTTCACGGCCATCAACCATTCTTCCTGAAAAAACAAATCTTTTTAAGAAAAACAATTTAAAAAAGAAAAAAGAAATCAACAGAAAACACGATGAAATGAAGAACAATATACCGTCGAGCCTATCAACGGCCTTGGAAGCTTCATCAGCATACTTGTAACGCACAAAAGCGAAACCCCTCGACTCACCGGTTCTAAAGAATCAGAAATTTTAATTACAATAAGCTACAATTATGAATATGATGAACGGATAAATGGGAAAAAAAATACCTTCGATCTTTGGGGATGAAGATGTCAACGACCTTGCCGTACTTATCAAAGAGCGGAAATAGGTCGTCGGCGGTTGTACCTTGAGGAAAAAATTATGGTGATAGTTAGGTTAAAGAAAAGAGGAAGAATTGAATTGAGAACAGAGAGAGAAGAGATAGGGCTTACGAAAAGTGATGTTAAGGACGAGGAGGGAGTAGGTGTCGGAGATGTCTGGAGGGCCTGACCTTCCGAAGTGAGACATGGTTGATTCAGAATTGGATTGGATACAGAGAAGGTGAGAACTGATAACCAGATGAAACCCTAATGACAAGGGGATGGCAAAAAATGCAATTTAAACATATTATTTTATCTAAAAAATATCTCTTAATTTTATTTATTTTTTTATTTAAGCCTTATTTTTATTTTATAATCTTTAATCAGTTTTCAAACTTATGGCGGATATATTATATTTTAAAATAAATGTATTTAATAACAACTTCTTCCTTTTTAGAAATATATTTTAATCAATTCTTGGACCAGAAGAGGAATACATGAAAGAATGGGTCTCCATCAAATATGATTCAGTCCAATAAAAAATATTATTGATGGCGGGATTAGTAGGAAAAGGTGGTCTAAGAAATAATGGATAGAAACATATGAGTTTCACACTAAAAATTCACTCAATCATTATATATATCAAACGAGGTATGTTAGATAATATAACGACCAACCGGTGAGGCAACTCCTGGGTCGACCCGATATGGCGGGCAGAATGCTAAAATGGTCCTTGGAACTCTCCGAATTCGACATTCAGTACGAAAGTAGGAAAGCTCTGAAAGCACAGGCCTTGGCCGACTTCGTCGCGGAAATGACCACTCACGACCCTTCCCCGGGGAAAGAACACAAGTGGACCATCTTTGTCGACGGAGCATCCAGCTCGTCCGGAAGCGGCGCCGGAATCCTTCTGGAAAACGAAGAAGGCGTAGTAATCGAGCACTCCTTAGCTCTCTCCTTCCCGACGTCAAACAACCAGGCAGAATACGAAGCCCTGCTCGCAGGACTGAGACTGGCCGAGGATCTGGGGTCCCGCGAGGTACAGATCTACATCGACTCCCAGCTCGTCGCCTCTCAAGTACAGGGGAGCTACCAGGCCAAAAACGACAACCTCATCGAGTATTTGAACTTAGTCAAAAAAAATACATGACAAAGTTCGTACGAGCAGAAATTTCACATGTTCCCCGCGAGCAAAACACGAGGGCGGACATATTGTCCAAACTCGCGAGCACACGAAAGAAGGGCGGGAACAAATCCGTCATCCAGGAATCTCTAGCGCGTCCAAGTATCGAACGACCCTCGACTACAGTCGAGATCCATGCCATCGGGGATGCGACGTCCTGGATGACCCCGGTTTACAATTTCCTGACAAAAGGCGAACTCCCATCGAACCAGGTCGAAGCTACTGTCACAAAGCGACGAGCATGTTCCTACGTGGTTCTCGAGCAGAAACTGTACCGCAGAGGATTCTCCATCCCCCTCCTAAAATGCATCGACGAGTTCGCAGTCCCCGAAGTACTGCGGGAGATACACGAAGGGATCAACGCCCAGCACATGGGTGGTAAATCCTTAGCGAGGAAAGCCCTTCGAGCGGGATACTACTGGCCGACGATGCAACAGGATGCCAAGGAACACGTCAAGAAATGTGACAAGTGCCAGAAACACGGGGACATGCACCTCGCTCCTCCGTACGAGCTGAGCATACTGTCGTCCCCGTGGCCATTCGCCTGGTGGGGTATGGACATCCTCAGGCCCTTCGTGCAAGGAACCTACCAGAACAAATTCCTCATCGTCGCCGTGGATTACTTCACGAAATGGATCGAGGCCGAGGCTCTCGCGAAGATCACCTCACATAACATCCTCCGTTTCTACAAAAGAAACATCCTCGCCAGATTCAGAATTCCGAGGGCGCTGGTGACCGACAACGGCACCCAATTCACCGACCACGGATTCCAAGATTTCATCGCCAAACTCGGGACAAAACAACACTTCACTTTTGTCGAGCACCCTCAAACCAACGGGCAGGCCGAGGCCGCGAACAGGGTCATCCTCCGGGGACTCAAACGTCGACTCGGCGAGGCCAAGAGGGGATGGGTCGAGGAGCTCCACAGCGTCTTGTGGGTATACCGAACCACGCCTCACTCAACGACGGGCGAGACCCCATTTCGATTGACATATGGCACCGAGGCCGTTATCCCAGTTGAAATCATGGAACCTTCCAGACGAACAGAGAACCCCCTCGACGAAGAAATGAACGACGAGGCACTAAGGGACGAACTCGACCTAGTCGAGGAAATCCGATCTGGTGCAGCCCTGCGCGAAGCCACCCTAAAACAATGAGTGGCTCTACGCCACAACGACAAGGTCATCAAGCGCGAGTTCGAAATCGGCAGCCTGGTATTACGTAGGAACCAGAAGGATTCCCGCGAAGGGAAGCTGGCCGCGAACTGGGAAGGACCTTATCGCGTCCACGGCACCACTGGTACCGGGGCGTACTATCTCGAGCAATTAGACGGAGAGCCATTACCACGACCCTGGAACGCTGCTAAGCTAAAGCAGTACTATAGTTAAAAACTACCAACACCTAGGACCCTCGACCATCGGCACCCGCGCCCGGTCAACGAGGAAAAACGTCCGACTCCGTATAGAGGCTGAGGTACAAGCCCGACATACGGCTAAATCGTACAACATCGCTCAACAAACGAGACCAATCGATAGTGCCCGACGTGGACAACTACACCGAGCTCCACCGTCGTAGTACCTGTAAGGCAGAACACCCAGCTCGCGATGGGCAGTTCACACCAAGGGCAAATAGTCCCTACCGGGCTTCGCGCCCGACTGAGCGACTCCGCTCCATCTGCCCGACAAGTCGTCAAGAATGACGGGCCATCTAAAAGGGTCAAAAGGAAGTCTCTCCCCTCGAGTACAACACTTAGGTGACTCTGGCCATCGAGAGAAGGTCGGGCACATATACAAACGAAAGGCGGGCAAACTCGCCAGCTAAGTCACAACCACTTACGGGCACTCCTCGGGCCCATAACTTAGGCTAATTTTTATGCGGCCTCGGGCCCATAACTTAGGCTAAATTTTATGCGAAAATATAAAAATCAAGCACGGGCAAACAATCAAATTTGAAACAGCATTCATTCAAAAAAACGCCCGAAGGCAACAAAGCAAATAAGTATAAACCGACCAAGAAGGCCGGCGATGTTCGTGAAGTACAACCAACGGGCACGCAGGCCCAAAAAATACAAACAAATATCAAAGGCACGCAGGCCCATCATCCTACAATCAAGTTTCCCCGGAACCGTCATTGTCGACAACAGGAGAGTCGGGCGGGGGCACGATCGCGCCATCCACGATCTGATACGTATAGCCCGTCCCCTCAGTGACCAAACCAGGATTTAGCAAGGAAAGCTGGCCGACTGCGGAGTCGAACCCCTCCTCCATAGCACCGACGCAATCTGCTTCGAGTAGCCGGATATGGGCGACCAACTCCGATCGACTCTTCAAAGCAGCTATATCCTCCGGCTCGTCCTCGGCAGGAAGCATGGAGACTTTCAGGTCCTCGATCTGTTGGGTTAGGCACCCGATGTCGGTCTCCAGACGCTCCCGGTCCGCACGGAGAAGCTCTCCCTCCTCGGCTAGCTTCCCCGAGTTTTCCTTCTCCAGAATCAGCATCTCCCTCTCGGCAGCCAGCAGCGATGCCTGTTCGCGGAACATCTCCTCGGAGCGTTCCAGGGCGGTCCTTAATTTGCGCGAACTCGAGGCAAGGGCCGCTTTCTTCTGTTCCAATGCTTCAATGCGGACAGGATCCTCCCCTTCCTCAGACAGCACAACAGCCATTTCGGCCATTTTCACCAGCCCGACCATATTGGCGGCCAGATGCCTCCGTCGGTCCTCCTTACTCATCCTCCTGATAGTCTCGGCCTCGTCGGCAACCACGGACAAAGGGAATACCTCGAAGAAACCCTCCTCTTTGAAGCAAGGGGGCAACCCGAAGGACCTTACGGTGCTGGCGTCCTCGACGATCGCCAGCCCGCTTTCCACCCGGTTGCTCTTTCTTTGTATTAGGTCGGCATGTGGCTCGACCTCTTGAACCTCTGGGATCTCTTCCAACGCGGCCCCTGAGCTAGGCGACGAATCCACCCTCACCACGTGAGGAGCGCCCGGACTATGCGGCGGGCCCATCCTCGTTGCTTGGGGAGCCTTCACAACCCTCCTGCCCCTCTTCTGGTCGCAAGACAGCTTCAAGAGTCTTTCCCGTCGCCCGGCCATCGAACCTGCACAAAATAAAAACCGGGTTAGTGTCGAGCAAATACGCAAACAAATGACAAGCAAAGAAATGCGAGCAATAAACGACCTAGCAGACGAGCAGCCTGCCTGAACGACTGGCACTCCACGAGTGCCTTAGTATCGATCGGTCGGGCCTCGAATGTCGGATAACCCTCCTCGTCCAGGACATCTTCCCCCTCCCTCGTGGCCCACCTGGCGGGGTGGAAGCTGTCAACGAACCGACAAAGAGTGTCGTACGCCTTCTCATCCTCGGAACACATGTCGCCCGCAGAGGTATGATAGTATCTAGTACCGTGCTCATAATGCCTGAACATCCAATGCACGGGGAACTTGGTCGTGCGTGCCATCACGGGATACCCGTCGTTGTCTAAAATCGCCTCCCCGTCATCGTCGCTCATCGGCGCTTCCTCCTCGTACAGGGATTCTAAAGCGGCCGTGGTAACCGGCCTCACGACATACCACTTGTCTTTAAAACCTCTCACGGAGTCCATGTACATCTTGAATAGTCTCTTCGACTGTTTTAAGGAGACCCAACTGTGCTTTCCTCCTCGGGACTGGCGCTGCAGATGGAAAATTTTGAAGAAGAGAGGTATAGTCGCCCCGATCCTCAGAAAACGACATGTCAGCTCAAACGCCCGGATAAAGGCGAGCGAGTTCGGGTGTAGCTGCGACGGGGCCAGCCCCAAATGGGCGAAGACCCCGGCCTGAAAGTCACTGAAGGGCAGCTGCAGCCCAAGGTCTTTGAACGCAATTTCGTACATGGGGAAACTATACTCGGGGTACACCGAGCAGATCCGGGCAGTGGAGGTCGGTCGCGTAACGACGAAATTCTTTTGAAAATCAGGCTGGTCGTGGCTCGCCTCAAGGACAGCATATGGCTTTCGGTTACGCCGGCTATAGATCGACGCGATT